AGGTCGAAGTTCTGTGATGGACGCAGAAAAAGTCCACAACCCGAGCTACGATGACTTTGTTAACGGAAGACCGTCGACATGTAATAGTAACGAGATAAATCTTTTATTTTCAAGGTTATTTTTAACAAACTAGTATCGTCGTCCATTGATAATATCGTCACAAAATTCACTTGTATTACAGGGAACCAATTAATTTCGGTAATGTCACGCAAAATAACGCTTCAAACAAGGCTTTTAACATCGGCATTAAATATTGCCAAAACATTAAACGTCGATTTGTTGAAATTAATACAAGTCTCATTTGTACAACTTAACTTTTGTGCGAGAGGGTGACCCGAAATAACGATATAGACTATAATCTCAGTTCTGTCGCTTATATATGAAACCTCTTAGCTAACTCTACTCTCGAAACATTTATATTTGAAAAAAATGTTTGACGAGATTTCATCCAAAATGTGCTAAAGAATGCTGGCTTAATATTGATCGATATAACTGAAAAATATTGATAATATCGTTATTTCTACTCACCCGTAATAACAGCAAAACAATTGCTACACTTGATTGTCTTCGTAAAATGATTTGTAATGTTCAAGCTGTCGATCAGCTTGTGAAAATTGGTGGGAAGATGATTAGGGTGGGGAAGCACACCGGAAATTAATGTCAAAATAGACGTCGTTGTCGATTTGGAGAGTTTGCCCTGTCGACAAATTGCGAGTAGATTTTCACAGATTTCTGACGTCGATTTTGTTGTAAACGGATGTAATGGACGTAAGTCTTTTTGATATCTGACAGTCGCCGAAATATCACTCTCAGTATCTGTGTAATCATGAACTTCATCATTATCTATTCAGTGTGAAAAAAGTTTCTGAACAAACTGTTTCTTATAATAATTTTTATAATCTTCTCCACTCGAGTATCTAGCGAAACAAGCTCGAAGATGTTAGGGGAATTTCCTGGCGATGCTTGTTTTTAGAAAAGAGTTCAAAAATCTGGTGAAAACTGGATTCTCTGGGTTGTTTTCACCTAATATTGAAAAATTCACAATCTACTAAAACACAACAGAACGCATTCAAAACTTTAAGGCAGGGCTGAATTTGTCGTCGAAAAAGTCGAAAGCCATATTTCTGCTGAAAAGTTTTCAGAAATCCTTTCGTAAGAACTATTGATGTCTGTAAACTTGTTTTTCTCGATTTCTTATAAATACGATATAGATAGCATAAATACTTTACATTCCGAAGTTTTGAACGCATTCTGTTCGTTTTTAGTAGATTGTGGTTTTTTTAATATTAGATGAAAACAACCCGGAAAATACAGTTTTCAACAGATTTTTGAACTCTTTCCTAAAAACAAACACTGTCACGAGATTCAGCATGTTCGATTACGCAAGTTCCACGCGACAAAGACTATCCCAAAGACTATCCCAAGCCACTGCATGTCAGTCCTAGGACTGCAGTGAAGTCCGATACCACGACAGCACCATTGGAAATTACGGTCTCTTGACTCTCATTTTGAAGAGGACACTTTAGACTACTTAGCCATGAAAAGAAACCAAAATATTTCTATTATAAGCTTTTAGTAATAACATTGTTTTCTAAAGGTCGTCTAGAAAACCTGCTTTAGAAAAAGATTTTCAAAATGACTTTCATGATGAAAAGATGCGATCAGGTCTCGGCTTCCAACTGCTGAGGACGGCAAGTCTCTATCATTTTTCTTTCAAACGTTATTGAAAAAACATCCGAGCGCATTCTTTTTTTTCTGACAATAGGGCGCAAAATAGATATATTATCTTATGCTCAGTATGAAACTAGCACTAAACAAAATCCGAACAGGTAAGATTACTAAAGTCAAACATGTTTATTCAAAACTTATTTTGAACCTGCAACTTGGAAGTCATCGAAATCGTCGCACAGGTCGGCCAAAATGTTACATTCTTGATTTTTATCTGAGGCTTCAATTATATCTTCGGAATCCTCGTCAAAAATAGATTTGTTATCATTTTGCGACAATAGCAAAAAAGTCGGTACCGCAGACCAGCATTTATAATTCACAACAGTTAGTCTTAAATTAGCTTCCTCTTCACTTTTCTCTGCTATTCTCTCTTTCTATCCAGTGCTAAACATACTGTGTACTTTTTTCTCGTTCTAAGAGAAGTTGTTAGGCTAAAATTATACATTTCAAAAAATACATGCAGTACAGAACGAGAGAAGAGAGCACATCTTAAATCTACCACAACCTAGTCGATTGCCATTTAACTAGATGTTTCTAAATTGTAAAAATGTTAAAAGTTTCAATATTTTGCAGATGTGCCGATGCAGACTTGTAAAAAATAAGAAAGAAAAAGCGAACAAATAAGATCTTCATTTGTTAATTTATTTATTAACAAAGGATTATTTATACAGTGAAGCTTTGAGCTGGTTACTTATTACAGATTTCTAGTAGTAAGGACTCGTATAGCAAATGACTGAACGAGAATGAGCCATAAAAAAGTCTGACTACTTTAGCGGCGGTTTGCTATTTTTAATCGTAAGTACAGAGTATCGACCGTCTTGTTCTATTTCTAGTGCGTAAGTAAACGTAATTTGTTCCACAACACCAGTAAAAAATAAAAGAAAACTATAATAAGTTTTTATTAAAAAACGTGGATATTTCGTTTCGCGCGCAGATTAAAGATCTAGAAACTTTTCCATTTTACAAGAAACAGCACATTTTTCATATTGCGATCCTTTTTAATCTTCTTTTATGAAGTTTCCTACTTATTCTGTCTTTGCCCGAAAAGGTTTAACTCTCAATAAGTTGAAAATCGCAGTCTCGGTTTAGTTGTTTATTTATTTACTTACCGCTCGGTCTGCTATTTGCTGTTTTAAATAGTCAAGATACATGCTGCCCTCCCTATAATATTTTTGCAAGCTTTTCAGTGTACAGAATTGATACTAAATTAGTTATATACGTGGAAGCGAGCGCATATGAGAATCTTCATAACAGAAAAACCAAATTAAACTATTTAATATTAGCAGACAATTAATGGTCCATTTACGAGCAATTTTCAGTGATTTTATCACCATTCGGTAATTGCTCAAGAATGATGTAACAATCACATAATAACTGGAGAACTAGATATACATAAATGATGTTAAGTTTATGTCATATAAATGACCGTACAACGGTCATTATGAAATGACCATTTTATGATCATTTTTTGCCCATTTCTTTCTACTGGATCATTAATGGCCAATTTTTATATCACTTTTGCTAATGATCACAAAATGATCCATAAATGAGATAATTTCTAGCTCATTTTTATACCATTAATTGACCATCAACTGATTATTCTTATACCATACCATTAATTGGCCATTAATGGCTCGTTAATGTCTCATTCTGATTCACCTGGGTCTTGTTCTATTTTTTGCAAGACTCTTATCCTTTTGCATTTCAGCCAAGAATCTTGTTAAATAGATTACATACATTTTGATCTCAAGAATCTTGTCTCATAAATTATCAAAACAATTTTACAAACAAAAAAATTCCTATATAATCCATTTTTCATCTTCTTTTCTTTTCATATATATGGGTACTACCCGCTCTGACGCCAATACAGTCACATATAAAGACTCGATTGTCTCTCGACAAGAATCTTGTGAGATTTAAAAGAATTTTTACAGTATTCAGTTATAGTATATAGCATAACTATAGCACGGGAATTGACAAAACAGATTGGTGATCTTATCGTTAACGAATCTTGCCATTTCAGACAAAAATTTTTCACAAAAAAATATGAAAAATCTTGTCTGATCTATCAAGACAAAGGACGGGGTGCAATAAGAACGAGGATCGGCCCCATTTCAGATCTACTCAAAAGGTATCTAGAATGAAAGGGCATACAATTTTAAAAATGCATTTTTACACTGCGACAGTAAAATGCCTATAACTTTTTTTCTAACAAAGCTAGAGACTCGCGGTTTTCACCATTCGGTTCAACCTGCTGAGCTCTATAATATGAGGCAGGTCTGGTCACCAACGTCAAAGGTTGGTGTAAATCGCGGTAGGTTTTAGATGGATCGAGCCTATCCGTCGATGCCGAAAACATCACTTTGTAGGAGTAATATCCAAAAAATAAGTGTTCGTACTTTTAACTAGAAATGAGTTACCCACTATTTTATAGAGTTTTGAAAGAGCTTTCTTTCGATGTATAATGTAGACCGCAAACCTGAGTTTTTTCATGGTGAAAAAGTTGAAATACTATCGCAGACTATGCTGAAAAGGTCATTTTTAACAATAATATTCAAAAAATCAGCAGTTTGAACTTTTTATCTTTTCAAATGGCAAAGTTATAACAAAAACAATTTTGCTGGAAAGTCTTTCGGAGGCCTCCTCCGAGGACCATCATGGGGTCATTTTGAAAAATTTTTAAAATGACTTTTGTGATCACAGTGATGAGTTCCATTAGTCCTGAAAGCACCACACGATTGATAGAAAATCGATGTAAATGTCGTGCATTCTCCAAAGAATAACCTAATTATAGTTTAACCTGATCGATGTTTCAGATCCACTTAAATACCTTTATTCTAATGCTGTTTTTGCGTAGGCTTCAATTCAACATACGGTACTACTTATAATTACAGAAAAAATTTCGAAAAAAAACACTTTTCATTTCAGCAATAAAAGAATCCTGTGTCAATTTGTTAATCGCCGTTTTACAACTCTTTACAACATTCGCAACAAATAACGTCTTCCAAAACACAACAGAAACAGCAACAGGCAAGGCTAAAATAAAATGAACAAAACCATGACATGAAGAAGAAGATAAATAGCTCTCCTACCAATCAAAACAAGCGCCGCCACCACGAAGATGTTTAGGAAAATTATCACGTTGTTCTATCTTTGGTTGTTGAACAATCATATTTGCATCATTTTTCTGAATACCTAAAAATAACAACTGAATATTATAGTTTTCTAATCGCTGTTTTCCTCCTTACGTGATTGATCTTGTTCTAATTCAAATATCGATCTAAAACCAATTATCAAAAATTAAAAAACTTTCTGACTAGTTATTATATCTTACGTTTGAATTGGTTGTTGTGTGAGAGACATTTGAGCTTATTGCAGTTCTCTAAAAAAAAGCAAGATGAATTAAGACAACTTTAATTTATTTAATTAAACTATCGAAGCCTGTAGGCAACAACTTGTACCTTGAAGTTGATGAGATCTAGAATGCTCTAATCTATTATTTAAAGTAAAGTAAGTATAGGTTAATACAGCTTTTTAAATATCTGCCCGCCCTTCCTAACACAATTGTGTACTCTGATTCTATCACATCACTTCTGGTTAATTCAAACAAAATTACCGATTATTATACAACGATATCTTGGTAAAATGGAAACGAGAAACCGACACTCGTCAGAATTAGTGTGGTCCGATCCGAGGTCTACTGGTACATTTTCCTACCTAATCAGAAACTATCTCAATCAAACATTTAATCTAAATTTTTCTGTTGCCACTCGATCCGAGTCGATCATCGACAGAAACTCAGCACCAAGGTGTCTTATTCAATGACGGGACTTTTGTGTATACGGTAAATGACATATGAAACTTCAAAATAGCTTTTACAGTTATTTCTAAAAGTTTTAATAAAAGAAAAGGATAAACATGATTGATTTTCCATTCAACACCTTGCTGTTCCGTTCCTCTTTATAAACAGCGCCACAAAGTCTATGTGTGTAAAAGCGATAATTATGGTCAACTTACTCCAATATTATAAATTTATTATAAAAGTGACATTTCTAACTTTTTTCTTTCCTTTTATTAAAAGAATTATATGAAAGTACTTTTATGACCTGTTATTGTATGTACATAAAACGCTGCCATAGAAAGAATTTGGTTGTGTGTTTAAAAATGAATAATACGACTGAAATATACGGCAAAAAAAATATCTAACCTATACTTTTCTGCTGCGCTGAATAATAAAGAAAAAGAACGAGTGAAAATCAATTTTTTCTATGTATTTTAAACAAAATTCCCTCACTACAGTGATGAAGTAACATATATCAGCGGTTGTGTTCTAGCCAACAATTGTTTGAGTTTCTAAAATCTTTTTTCTTTCTCTCTTTCAGTATACGCCAACTACGTAAAAAAAGCTTCGCAGTTTTAAACCACCACTAATTGTCATCTCGTTTTGATACTTTTGAAGCAGCGAAGAAGCTAGACTCAAGGAGTGAGCGTGAGAATGTTTGTCAATCAATAAGAAATCGAAGAAGGAGAGACCAAAGCGAAAGGAAGCGGTCAAATTCCACACAAATTTTTTCAGAAAAGATTAGAGAATATCACTTTTAGAAAAGGCGATTATAAATTTCACGGTGACTTTTGACTACAGAACGGGTTATATGTATGTCTGTAGACTTATAATAATAAGTAATAAGTTATGATGTGACTTATAATAATTTGAAAAAAGAAAGTCTATGTATCTTTCACGATGCTACTTAAAACAGTATTTATAGCTTCATGCTTGGCAACCTGAAATGTACTTCAGATATAGAGAAGATCCACACGTCGATAGTGTAAATATTTCAAGAGAAAATGCTTAAAAAACGATTCGCCAGCGCATCGAGCACGCCGTAGAAACCGCCTAACATGGAAAAAATGAATATATACTTTTTATTAGCTCATTCGATTCTACGCCAAAAAACCGGGGTTATCAAAACATTTTTAAACCTTCAAACTCAATAACTCCTGAGTTATAGGCTCGGTAAGGTTCCACGACAAAATCGAATTTTCGATGCTCGTCTGGCGTGGGGCTCCAGCAGATTTTCGCCGAAAATTCGATTTCGTCGTGGAACCTTGTCAACCACATCATTCGATGCATTTTTGCATGCTGATCATGAATGTAACCTCTACGAATTTCAAAGTGAGTTGTTGAGGTCAGAAACTTCAAACAGCTGGTTTTGGGCTTTATAAAGCGTGTTACTTTTTCTCCTTCTTAGTCATTTTCGGAGATGTGACAGGGGTTGCAGAACTGAGCTCTTTAGCTCAGCTTGTAGAGAATTCAACGCTCTACAAGATGGCATCAAGGACTTTGGAGGTTCTTTCAACTATAGTGAGACAGTTTGATTGCAATCAAAAAAGTTCAGTTTTCAAAACACGAATTTTTCACTTGATCGGAACTTTAAAAGCTCAGTTTTGACCCGAAAGTTTTAATCGGATACATAGGTCGATGGAGTTTTGTATGCTCTTTCGAATGAGATGTTGTTCGACTCTACACGACCAAAAGTGGCGCAAAAAGTTCGGAAAACTGCACTCTTCACGGTTTCTCATAGTGATTCTTTTCGTTAGCAAGAAGAGTTTAGTGTCCAAACGACAGGTTGCTGGCCTGACGACTAGACGAGTGGCTACCAGCAGCCCAGGGTCGCCTCCTGCGGGTGTTCACAACAACCACAGGCCCCT